AGCAGCAGCTGGGGAGTGCCATGTTGTGTGCTGTGCTGTCTCCCATCTCCCCTGCCCAGCTTGTTGTTTTCTCTGCTATTGCTGTGCAGGCTTCTGCTGTGGAATAAAAGTTCTTTTGTGTGGGGCCACAGTGTGGTGCCTTTCAGCTCCTTGCTGCCAGTTCAGCCTGTTGAATTCCCAGGCATAAGCTGCTGGCAAGTGGAAGGGGAGAGAGCAGACACATGCAGTGGAGGGGGGAGATTCCATCCCATTCAGATGTTAATGCTGCCAAAAACAGAGCTGTCCTTGGGCTCTAGGACAGCCTTTCTTCCCCTCCTTGTACCACCTGCCTCCAATGTGTACAGCAAACCCTGATTCTTCTCCAAAAGCCTCAGCTGTGTGCGTCCTGCTGTGTGATACGCACAAGTGAAAGTTTAATATGCCCCACATTCCCGAGTCTGCAGTGGCTCTAGCTCAGCTCTCCAGCTCGTGTTCAAGCAAGAACAGGCTGAATAATTTCAGAGACCCCACTGGGATGATGTTCATGGACCACATGATCTCATGTAGACTTTGTCTCCGCATGCTACCAACAGCATGCCCCTGCTGAGAGCTGCGTCTGGGGTTTGGGCCCGAAGGGAGCAAAGGGCCCTAATGCTGCTTTTGGAAGGCCAGAAGAAATGTCTGATCCAAGCTGTAAACAATCTAACTAGTAGTGTGTCTGTGGGGAGCCCATGTCCTTGGTGTTGTCTCCTGCCAAAGCTAGAGACCACATCAGAAGGGAGCAGAGTGTATCCTTGGGATTCAGCAAGGAAGCAGTTCGACAGGAAGCAGGCTTTTAGGGAAAATCACAGGACATGGGCCAGGGCAGCACAAAATTATATCGGCTGACCCGGCAGCTGCTTTCACAGGGCAAGGCTCGTCCCCTGTGTGCAGCCGTTAGCCCTTTCGGAAGGGAGAAACTCTGAGCCAGCCCAGATTGGATGGTGTGTGAAAAAGCAATGTCATATTTCAGGAATTGTGTCAGGTTTGTCTTCTCTCTTCCCTTTCCTCAGCTGACCAGTAAGGTACATGTTTGCCGCTATGGGAGCAACTCCTGGGGCTTCAGGAGGCATGTGGGGGAGCTCGCTGCACCCCTGGCACACCCCATGCTGCCCTTCCCCTCTTTGTCCCAGCAGTGGCACTGTACTGCAGTTAATTGTCCCCCCCCATGAGGCTCTTGTCTCCTGTTACAGTGCAGCTGTAAAGCCTTCTTAACTCTTATTTACACAGCACACCTGGTGTAACTACAGAGAGCTTACACGGCGATGTGGTTACTGTCTGTAGTGGCTCCTTGTCCCGGCACAAGGGACAGCATATCGATTTACCCACTGCAGCTCCTTTGAGGGTGCTTAGAGCTGCGTGAAAGGTCTGTCCACAGCTATCGGTGGAGTAGAACAGAAGTCTTAAAGTAGCACAGCCTGGTGGGACACTACCTAGCAGGGTGATAGTAGTACATTTGCCTGATAGGTGAGAGCTGTACCTGAAAGTGGAGCTGTGTTCCTGGTGTTATTAGATACCAGGGTGCAGTTGCATCGTATTTTGACTATACATGTTGGCTTACAAGTAGCTAAAGAAAATAATGTCCCAGTTGTTTATAAATAGCAACAAAAATGAAAGAGTTGAGGGAGAGGAACGAACATGGTGCACCTCCCACGTAAGACCCTTCAGGTGCCAGATCACCTCTGTGCACTGCAGCAGAGGAGGCAGAAGGCCAGGGCACTGGCCATTTTTGTCTGAACTTAGCTCTGACATGTTCTCAGCCACTGCTGGGATCAGTCTATCTAGGGCTCTTGCTGACAATCTTTCTTCTAGGTGGTCAAGACAATTGGTCTGCGAGAGGTCTGGTTTTTTGGACTTCAGTATCAAGACACCAAGGGCTTCTCAACATGGCTGAAATTGAACAAAAAGGTATGTTTGCTCTAAGCTTTCACTTGTCCTTGTTCCCTTCTCTGGGAAGGCAGGGGCAGATTCAGTTTTCCTGCTTTTGTCAGAGATCTGTTCTTGCCTACCCATGCACCTGAAGTACTGCAAGGTTAGTGAGTTGGTGCTACAGTGTCCACACATGCCCTCCCCAAGGGATGAGGAGTCGTGGTGTCTGACCTGGTCTTCCTGCATCTACTTCTGTTTGTCGCCCTTCCTGGTAACATGCTGATGGTGCTTATGTCAGCATCTTGGTTGGTGAGAAACCTGGAAAATAACTTACCTAGCACTGGTTGTAACTACTGGCTTTTCCTAAGTCCTGTGGTGAGAGGTGATGAGGTATTTAGGAGGAAGTAATTGAAAATCCTTGCTTTTCTGCCTGCTCACTTTTTCACTGGGGAGGAGAATATTTTTCTAGGACATGCCTGTCTTCCTGCTCATGAACGTGCTCGCCTTCACTTGGGACATAGGCCGTAAAAGCTGGTACCTCTGTTGCAGGTGACAGCACAGGATGTGCGCAAGGAGAGTCCCCTCCTGTTCAAGTTCCGTGCCAAGTTCTACCCTGAGGATGTGGCAGAGGAGCTGATCCAGGACATCACGCAGCGCCTTTTCTTCCTCCAAGTGAAGGAGGCAATTCTGAACGATGACATTTATTGCCCCCCGGAAACCGCTGTCCTTCTGGCATCCTACGCCGTCCAGTCCAAGTACGGAGACTTCAACAAGGAGGTGCACAAGTCTGGTTACCTTGCGAGTGACAAACTGCTCCCACAGAGGCAAGTGAACCTGGCTTATCCTAGGCCTTCGCTGCCTTAAAGGGTTCGGGGTGTTTTTCTGTGAGGTGTGAAGGGGTGTTTTGATTGCAGTGCTCAGAATGAAATACAGCTTGGTGCCTCTTTGAGGATTTGGATTAGTATTCATTTAATTAAGAGCTTTAATCTTAAACATCCTGTTGCTGCTTTGAGAAACTCAAATCAGAGGTAGTGAGAGAAGCTCCAAGCCAGAAAAATGTAATGCTACAAGGAGAAGCACAACTGAATAAAACTTGTCATTTGCCAGAAGTCTGAATACTGATCCTTGTGTCTATCTAGCCTTACAAGAGAACTGGGTTTCCTGGAATATTGTCATGGGGGAACTGTGGTGCCTGTGGAGAATTTAATGAAGCATTATTCTAGAGTGATGTGACTCTGTGTGCATACATGCAGCGCTTGGTCTTAAACACCCTGTGTACTCTTTCCAGAGTTCTGGAGCAGCACAAGCTTAACAAGGACCAGTGGGAGGAGAGGATCCAGGTGTGGCATGAGGAACATCGAGGAATGATTCGGTAAGTGCTGCAGTGTGAGACTGCTGTGATGTATGTTAGTGTGTAATGTACAAGTGCATATGAAAATCTGTGGCTTGCTTCAGGATGAGTTGGCATTCTCCAGGTCATTTTGCTCAGAGTAACTAGGTTTGTGTGCCTCTGCCCCTGCTGGTCCCCATCAGCTGTGTGTTCTTAGTGAAACAAGGCTGAGTTTGCAGAGTTTATAGTTACCTGCTGGAGTGATGCTCAGAGCCTTTGCCAGCTGGTTGCTGCTCTGTCCATGTGGGAAGGTAGCACCTTCTTGCTCTAATGGCTTTATAGACTCAAAAAAGATTTTCTGCTTTCTTTTTGCATGCTGCAGCGAAGATGCTGTCTTGGAGTACCTCAAAATTGCACAGGATCTGGAAATGTATGGTGTGAACTACTTCAGCATTAAGAACAAGAAGGGCTCTGAACTCTGGCTAGGTGTGGATGCTCTTGGACTCAACATTTATGAGCAGAATGATAGGTAATAAATTGCCTCTGTTTATCATTGCCTTCAGCTCCTTTCCAGTACAAAGGCATTCAAAATTAACCTCTCTGGAATTCAAGTCTTTGATACAGAAACTGTGGGGTTTGGTTTCTTGGCTGTATTTTTGACACTGCCATAATAAGCCATAAAATGTGCTGCTTTGAACCCACAAGTGCATGAAACTGGCAAATCTTATCATGCTAGTTTTACTTGTATCCCTAGTCTGCTTGCCATCGGTGCTTTCTCCGGTTCTGATTTCCATTTAAAACCCTCCAAAAAGCAGGATTGAAGAATTGCTTGTATTTGTAGTTTGCATGACTAATTTTGCTTGCTGTTTTCAGTCAGCGTAAGAGAACTGAAATAGAAGGACAGATTGGGTAGAACTTTGAGCTTTGTATTCTAAGTCAAGAATTTAAAATGACTTTGGGTTCTCTCATTTCTTTGTCCTTCCCATTTCTGCAGGTTAACACCAAAAATTGGATTCCCTTGGAGTGAGATCAGAAATATCTCATTCAATGACAAGAAATTTGTTATCAAGCCTATTGACAAGAAAGCACCAGTAAGAAGCAACATTCAAACTAAACTTTCAGCTTCTTAGCTGAATGCCCCCCGTTGCCCCCCG